ATAAAACTATAAAATAGCTTTATAATTTTTTTTCAGTAGCAGTACTACTAATAGTGTGATACTTTTAAAAATAAGTTTTAGCCCAGAGGGGCTATTAATTTCGTTTTGCCATTTTGTGGCGTTTCACTTTTCAAATCATTGCCATTAAGTATTATTGTATATTTAAAGAAATTAAATAATGAGGAATCTGCATAAATGTATGAATGTTTCTCACACTCTGATAAAACAACGGTACCTAGAGCCATGAAATTCTGAATAATGGAGGATTACATTATTCAGAATTTCATGGCTAATATAGGCATCTGAAGGCCCAAATTTGGAACTGGGAATTTGTTTTATGATCTATTTCATATTTTGTAAAGCATTTATAAGTTTTTGATTAAGAAACCCAACGATTTCAAAGCGAGCAATGGCAACATTGTATGGAAAAAAAAAAGAGGAAAGAAACATTTTTATCTCTAGCACACGAGACTATGTATCGGAAATTCTAAAGATATGCTTTTTTTAAATTATATGATATTGCTGTTGAATTGAATTTTATGGTTTAAGTGCAAAAAACATGATATTTAATAAATAAAGGTAACATGCAAACGTTAAAAAAAATGGCCCTTTGGGAGTAATACAAAATCTGAAGGCTTTCAGATTTTTTTTTTTTTTTTTCCCTTTGTGTGTGCGTAATTTTATTATGTTTTAAAACAGGTTTCTAAGGGAGGACTTTCTGAGGGAAACTTGCTTGTATACACATTACACATGGGAAAAACCACGAAAACGACGATGTGGCCAGCTCGTTCGCGGGATTCGAAACTCGGACCAAACTACTTGCTTTCAGCGATTCTACTGCTCGGCCCCTGGTGGGCTTATTAGCAGAATTCTACTGCATTATTATTGTATTCTGCTATAAAGTAACAATAACTATACTATATTACCATGAACAAACCCTCAGTCAATAAGACTGAGGGTTTGTTCATGGAATAGTACTTTTGTAATCTATTAGTATTAAAAAATCATTGTTTCTTTGCAAACTTTAAAAAAAAAAAATAGGTACTGTTCATAGCAGAGTTCTCATTTTTATATTGTAAAAGAGATACTGATTATTATTATTAGTTTTCTATTTAATGGGTCGAAACACTGGTTTGACAAGGACTTCAACTGCAGGAGACCTACACTGATTATTTTTACGTTAGTACTTGCATTTTTCACAGAATAAAATCTTTTGAGAAGGAAGAATTTTAAAATAAGCAGTTCTTATATAATTAGTAATTGTGTGACAAAAATTGCAAAACGAATTAATCACATTAATTGGATTAGTTTAATTTTGGTTATCTAGTTTATATTAAAAAATATTTTCTTTCATGTTAATTATAGAATAAATTACTTAAAATAAAGCATTTTGATGCATGTGTGATAGCTGAATGCAGCAGCAATCGGCCATATTGTAATAGCGAATGAATTTTATTTCTTTTCCTGAAAGAAATAATTTTCATAGACAAAGAAAATAAAAAAAGGGAAGAAATATTTTCTTTATAATTTCTTACTTAAAGAAATAGTTTTTTTTATATTAACTGTAAAACAAATTGCGTGAAAACAGTTTTAATGTAAGCATGGAAAAAAAAAAACTTACTTTGCTATTAGATTGTAATGCAAATGAATCATATTATAAATTTAAATGATTAAAATTGTTTATTTCTAAAAAAAAGATTTGAAATGAAACTTTAAAAAGATTTGAAGTAAGCTTGATTAATTTACTCTTATCTATTTAACGTTGCTTTTGTGGTATCCTATATCACTCTTCATTCCTTAGCTCTAAATTCCTGTGTTAACTTTCCCCTTAAAAACTGGATTTTCCTTCACATAACACAGCAGCATATTCTGCTTGCGTGTTGGTCATAATACTGTTTTGTGCAAATTTTTTTTTTTTTTTTTAACTACAAATGCAGCGTGCGAGTTAGTGAAATAATGGGATAATATTCCTAGAAATTCAGCCAGCGTGCGCTATAAATTTCGTCACTCGTCTGTACCGCAATTGGTCTAAAGCTCATTGAAGCCTTGTCCCCTTTGAGTAAAGTCAAATGGACCCACCCGCCCACCACTGAGGACCACAGAATGGCTTTCTCCGATAAGTTATGATGGCTGTCCATACCGGGTTTTTTTTAGTCCATATTGTTCGCTTAAGTTGTAGACAGATCCAGTGATCCTAGAATAGGCGTCCTGATTCGAATTCTCCAATTGTTCTGAGAATAATTTCATTCTTAATGAAAGTTCATAGATGGCTTTCTTGCCCTTTTAATTTGTTCCTCATCCAAGAAAATTCGGTGTTTCGGATCTACATATATTGAACCCAGCAAGATCTCATTGTCTAGCAAACTAGTTTCTCTTTTCTTTATTGAAGAAATGATTCCTTCTGCAATAAACCCTCCATTTCAGAAAGAACAAACATCCCATTCTTCCATTCTCGCCTCCTGTCAATTCTTCAGATTGCAGCTTTTTTGTGGCTATATACGGTGTAGAAAGAAGAGTTCCCAATTCTGCAAGATCATTCCACAGTCTTTCTGTTAGTGAAACATTAGGATTATCTACTTCTTCTAAAAAAAGTTCTTAATTCTAAAAACTCTTTATCATCAAATATGTGCTTCCTTATCGCACTGCTTGATCAATAATTGCTCCTTTTCCTGCTTGCGTCCTAAGAATGGCATCAAATTTGGGAGTTCTTGCTGCTTACCTAAATTTACCAGTGAGATTTATAACTAAATTAATAAGTTTAATCACTAATGGCAAATATCACATCCATCCTCCTCCCTTATATTTATTTATTAATATGTCAATAAAATAACTATTTTTAATGTATATAGTCCATAAATAGTTAGTTGATGATGTTTCCTTTTTTTCCCAGTTCATTTTAATTTCATTTCAAATTCAACCTGTCCAACAAAAACTGGAGTCGGAGTCGGCCTGTTTTTAGCAACTTCAGCTCCGACTCCTTTTACCCCAAAATCTGACCGATTCAGATTCTGACTCCATGACTCCACAACGCTGCATATAATGGCAGCAACTGAAGCCTATTTTCTAAATGACATAGATCCTTCACCTTATTATTCCTTTCTTTCATCAGTGGCTGGAAGGTAATGCTGAGTTTATGCCACATTCTCTTCCCAATGATATTCAACACATGTAACACACATTTCAACACAGGCAAACACATAATTAAAAGAATGAAATATAATTTAGAACAATTAAATATCTTATGTTTTAGCAGCTGCATTGCTAAAAATAAAAAGTATTTCCTTTAATAAACTGATATTCATTCCTGACAATCAAATACGATAATTATTTTATCATCAGTAAGATAAAGTCTCCTTATTTACATGTGTACATCATAAGATTACTTAAAAATCTAAAAATATACAAGAGTTATGCAATGTATAAAGCTAGTAAATGATTTTTTTAAAAAAATCGTTTTCTTTCTTTTTAATGAAAATATTATACTTATACTTAATTTAAACTAACTTGATTTACTCTAACAAAGTTTTAAGTTCCTTAAAATTCATCATATGACAAAATCTCAAATCTATAAATAGTAAAAATGATATTAAAAATATGAGAGGACAAGGGAAGATACTGAGGAAAGAGCTGAGGAGAAGTACTGAGGAATAATTCTTCTGATTCTTCAGTTTTCTCTTTTAATATAGGATACAAATACTACATAATAATAAGTTTTAACCTTTGAATTTTATTACATATTCTATGCAATCATTCAAAAGATTATTTTGAAAAGCCAATTCTTTCTCCCTACAAGTCTAATTAATAGCTTTCTAAAATTATTTATCATCTTTTTTTTTTTTTCTTCTTAAAATAAATATGTAGATATTAGTCAGTATATTTTGAAATGCTGGCATTATCAAATGATAACTTTACACAAGGAATTATACATTTGATTACAGAATTCAAAGCATTGTCAGCAAATCTTTATATTTGATTACGCAAACGAAATGTACAAGACTATAACACATATGCCCATTTCTTTAATTCAAGAAAACAACTCGTTAAATTAGGAATATATCATCAACAGAAAAATTCTGTGCATTATTTTCAGCAGCAAGGTATTATACCACCAGGAAAGCAGCGCAAGAACGGCCACAACATATATCTTAAATCCGATAAATAATATTCAGAAAACATTTATAATTTTTTTTTTTTTTTTTTTTTTTAAGTACCTAATAAAAATTTTACACAGGTGCAGAAATTCTGCATTTTTCAGAGCTGAGATGGTCATACTAATAAAAAAAATAGCTTTGCTAATTTAGCCCTCATCAATTTTTTTTTTTTTTTTTTAATGCCCAAGTATGATTTCCAGTTGCGGCTATCAGAATTTTTATGAAGGATTAATATGTATATCCCCTGAAATACATTTAAAATTAACCACTTATTCCCTCTGAATAACATTTACAGTTAACCATTTAATCTGTAACTCGGAAGAACTTTTTACACTTTGGTTATTATTTGGCTTGTTCGAAGGAATTCAGAAAATTACGGCGTCAGTATGTTTGTGATTCAAAGCTCACACATAAGTTTGACTAATCAACCTAAACTTCCTTCACCTTAATGCAACAAATCTGACGAAAATAACTGGTTATTTCAAATAAACGTATCCATAAATTATTTCTAAAGTAAAAAAACTAAAGCAATATTATTATCGGAACAAAAATATAAATTGATTAAAAACTGTTTACTTAATCATATGATAAATCTACCCAGTTTATAGGTTATGTGCTATCAACTAAGCTACCAGATGAGAAATCAATCCTTAAAAACTTGATACAATTATTTTCGTCTGGAAATTTTTACACTGCTTAAATCACAAATGGAACCGCCTCAGAATACTAACGTATTGCATGATACTGTAACAGTCAAATTTATATGCATTTGCATCAAATGATATCATCACGCAAATTTATAGGGGAACTTCGAAACAAATTTATTTCGCTGCAAAGCATTATACTTACCGTAAGGTTTGCAAGTTCTTCGAACTGAGAGATATTAGTAGTTCAATTCTAGTTTTCCTAGAAAGGAAAAAGCCTTCACAGAGATATGTATTTTCATAAAAAAATTTTGACAATGATAGATTTTATAAGTACGTGCGGATGTGTATGTGTTTGTGCAGTAAAATATCGTTGTTTCATGTTGTTTCTTTTGTTATCGTGAAAAGTTTATACCGTTTGTAAAATTTGTATCATACATTTCATGTAAACTTTGTGCTCAGTTAGAAATGTGATGTGCCTTTTTCTTTTCTTTAATTTTACTGTACGATTGGTGATTTAAAGTAGCATTCTATGTTTTGATTCTGATGTATTGTCGCCAAATCGGATAGTTGGCGCCAATGTTAAAAACTGGATGGTATGATCCAAATAATAAATGATTTTGTTTTTTCTTTATAGTAAGATAAATATATTCTGTATTTTTAGACATTTTTAAGAAGTTAAATATTAATTTAAATATTCGATGAATCGTTTTGATCCCATTATTATCCTTTATTGTAGTAGTAAATCTTAATGTTGTATTTTTAACTATAGGTACTTTAAATTTATTTTTAGTGTGTGAGCAGGAAATATGTTTTAAGTAGTTTTACAAACATGATTACTTTTTAAAAATTTTGTTCTATTTTCATAAAAAAAATTTTAAATTTATCAGAAAATTACATTCTTAAATTATTATAATATATGTAACTGTAATTTAATACTAGTGCTTTTGATTTTAATGTTAAATTTCATGCATGCTTTTGTTAAATATGCAGGTACATTTTGAAGAAAATCAATTTGAATGCTCTAGGCAAGATGGGCGTAAAAAACTCAAGCCCAATGCTGTGCCAACTCTTTTCAATGTGCCTAATCCCCCACAACTGTTGACCCCACAGCGTCTAAAAGGCATTGGTTTACCAAAGCACCGTTCAGTTACATCCAATTTTTGTAATGTATGTGTTTTTTTATTTTTATGGTTTTTCATAAAAAAATATGTTTTTATTACAAATGGACTAAATTGCTTTATAAAAGAATCAAAATATTGAAATTAAGGCATTATGTGATAAAGCTGTAATTACAGTCCCTAAGATTAGATTAAAAAATTAAAATTTTGCTGTTGTTATATATATAATTAAGTATGTACTTTGTTATTATAATCATATATTGAAAATTAAGCATAAAACCTCAATTTGATGTAGTTTTTGGATAAAGTTTTTGTAGTTTTTCGAGGACGGTCATACATGGGTCTGGTTTCTTCAAATTTGCTCCTAAAAGAAAGAAACCGGTATCTGATTGCCTTCAAAGTCAAAAGAGTTTAAATCAAAATTTGTATTAAACTAAAGTTGCTTTTTTGCTTAATTTTAAATTCCAGATAAATAGAGAGAAATATGTATGGAGTAAGTAAAAGAAATAATATTGAAATTAATAACTTTAATCTTGAGTAATACAATAATATAGTTATAATACATTGATTTAAATGTATATTTTAATGTCTTATATGTCTTGTCTGAATGTTGTTATTTTTTGTTTAAAGATTTACAAAACTTATTAGGATTATTTATATTATTTATTATTAAAATTACATTAAGTATATTTTATTTATCAGCATTTTCAGGTATCCTTACTTATATGTGTTTCATAATTTTTGCATCTTCAGGGTGGCTTGCTGCACAGTTTACCTTTATCAACTGAAGCGATTTCTGTTGCTGAACCATCTGTTGTAAGTCTTCATTTGAACAGTTATTAAATAGTATTAGTAAACTTTTTCTAAAAAGTATTAACACTGTTTCTAAAATTTAAAAATATATTAACGTAATATTTACTTATGTTTAAGAAGTATGAATGCTATGAACAGTCCAATGTATTTATGCTTTTTTATAAGTTGAGTTACTTTGAAAATGGTAATGATTATTTGTATTTATTTTTATCCGATCAGAGTTTATAATTTCTTTCACTTCCACATATTTCATATATTATAATTTCTTTTAGGTTCATTTGCCACAACCTTCAGCTTCATATTTTGGAGAAATAAATTTTGCTGCCGAAGTATCTGATGTAAATTGCCATTTTGCACTTCTAAAAAATTTTAATAGTTTTTTAACATCTATTCGTAAACTGTACTATGTTTTTTTAAATGTTTCCATCTTCATAATCATGCACTTTATTTCATTTCACCAGTGGTTGCAAATGTGTACATTACAGTACATCTCAGGTGTGTTTGCAACAACATTTAGCATTACCTTCTGATTAAATAACAGCTGCTAGTAAAGAATCTATTCTATGTTTTCATTTGAGCAGCTATTAAATGTCATATGTTTTACATATATTATGAATTTTTATACGATTTCTGAAATATGAAATTGTTTGTCTTATGGTTGCTAAACAGCTGTACTATATCTGGCTGTTGTGCTATGGAATTATTTTTGAATTTTGAGTGTTAACAATTTATTATCTATTTATGAATTATAAAATGTTATGTAAAATAATTATTTCTTAAAATGAATGTAGTTTATATCATCTGTATTTGTAAATTTCTTATATATATATATTTCAGGTTTGTTTGCAAGAACAAGCTTCAACTTCATCTTGTGATAAAATGCAAACTATTTGTGAAGGATCTCATGTAAGTAGATAATTAGTGTATTATTAAATTGCTTGCTTATACAAAAATGTTCTATAAACTTTTTTTTTGTTTTGTTTTTGGTAAAAGGAATGTAATTAATTTCATCAGCATTTGCAAATTCTTATGCACATTTCAGGTTTGTTTGCAAAAACAACCTTTAGATTCATCTTGCAACCAAATTGTAATTAATTTTAATTAATTTCATCAGCATTTGTGAAGGCTGTGATATAAGTTGATAATTTGTGTTATTAAATTGCTCATGATTATGGAGATAATCGATCCCTTGAAAAGCTGGAAATAAATTTTAAAAATCTATTTTTAAGTGAAATAAATTTTAAATATTCTAATAAAGTTTAGAAAATAAAGCGAAAATAATGTAGGAAATGCTGAAATGAAGTTAGATATGTGAAAAGAAAAAAGTCAAATTTAAAAACCCACCACAGTATAGGAAAAGAGACTTGGAAGTTGTATTTTTATTTTGTGGATTTGTTATCTGTTTAAGTTTGGCATTTAATCTAAAAGGGCTTTGTTCCTGAAGGACTATTGTTTTCGTTTTGTGATTTTGCATTGAAACACTATAAACGGCTGTATCACTTTTCAAATTGTTGCCACCAAATATTATCACCCTGTACTATATTTAAAGAAATTATATAGTGAAGAATCTGCATAAATGCATGTATGTTTTTTGCATTCTGATAAAACAACGGTACCTAGAGCCATCAAATTTTGAATGACTTAATTCTACTGTGAATATGGACATCTGGAAGACCGAATTTGAAATTCGGAATTTGTTTTAATATATATTTTATATGTTGTAAAACTTTAACGAATTTTTGATTAACAAACTTGAGGATTTCAAAGCGAGCAATGGCAATGTTGTACAGAAAAGACACTTTTATCTCCAGCGTGTGAGACAATGAATCGGGAATTCTGAAGATATGTTCATTTTAAAATTATCTTGCAATATTGCTGTTGAACTGAATTTTATAGTTTAAGTGTGAAAAACTTGATATTTAATAAATAAAGGTAAAACACAAAATGTTAAAAAAAGGCCCCTTTGGGTGTAATTTAAAATCTGAAACCTTTCAGATCTTTTTTGTTTGTTTGTGTTGTGTTCCCCCCCCTTCTTTGATGATTATTCATATAGATTTTTTCTTTATTCCAGGATGTTCTTTTAAGGAATTTTATAAAACAGCAGACTGAATTGATCTCGCTTCTGCAATGCCAGAACAAAATATTACTGAAAGAACTTACAGCAACCAAAAAAAAATGAAATTAATGTTTTAAAAAAATGGCATAGCACTGAAATTCAACTTCATGACCTTCAAGTACAGCATGAGGAATTGCTGAAAGGAGTGAAAACATTTCTTTCAGATGAACAAATAGCAATGTTGAAAATTCCTCGTAGAAGCATTGCAAAATGGTCTAACGAGGGAATAATAAAAGGCCTCAAAGTTAGATTTGCCTTGGGCAAGCATGGTTAGGGTTATATTTTTCCGAATAGGTTTTGGTTTTACAACAAATGACTTTTAAATTTTGAAAAATGAATTTGAAATGAAAAATGATGATGAATGATGAAAATGAAAAAAAAAATTGAATGAATGATGAAAATGATTTGATTTCATATGAAATGATTTTTTATTGATTAAATGATTTGATAGGAAATCAAAACAATTAATTTTAAATTACATTAGGAAATTTAAGGAAATGGAATTTTGATTTATAAGAGAAGTGAAGCAAGAATGGAAGCAAGTGAAGACTGGTCTTGAACAAGTGATGATTGAACAACAGTGATGACTGTATCATGGATGAACTGGCAATCTGATTGATCAACGTAAATGTTGTACATGGAAATCAATTCAGTTGTTGGTATTTGTTAGTTGCGATATATGGCAGCAGTAAATAGAAGCCTGTGGAATTCTTTGGGAATATCTGTTTCTCGAAACCAAAGAAATAATTTCACTACTGAAATTAAGGGCAAAATTATTTATGTATTTGCAGATGTGCCACATCTTTTAAAAAATCTCTGGTCTGCAACTCTTAATCATAGTATAAAACTGCCCAGTTATGTTTGCAATAAAGAAAATTTGGTTACTTTGCATGTATCTGCAGGATGCATTTATAAAGATATCTGGATTACTGAAACAAACCAAAATTGTGGTTTGAGAACTATGCATCATCTCAGCAAAGAAGACCTCTTCCCCTCACATTTTGATAAAATGAATGTTGCTTCTGCTGTGAGGTTTTTTTCCAATTAAAACAGCTGTGGGATTGGAGAAGGCAGTAGCTTTAAAAGAGATAAGCCCTAATGCTCTTACAACAGCATGGTGGATAAGATTTATATGTCAGTGGTTTCAAATGCTATCCTCTAGATGTAGAAAGAACTCAATTTCTGTGACAAATAAAAGCAAAAAAATTGAGTTACTTTTTGAATTTATTAATGTTATACAGCTTATAGAAATTGGTAAAGGGTGGAAACCATTACATACTGGTTTGATTCTTTCTACTTTATCAGCCATACAGTTAGCAGAGGCATGTTTTCTGAATGATTTTCAGTTTATTTTGACGAGCAGATTGACACAAGATGCTCTAGAAAATGTATTTTCTCAGATACGCAGAAAAGCTGGTTTGAGGCCAAGTGCTTTGCAAGCTGTGAAAGCATTAAAGCTTATCTGTTTATCTCAGTTTATATCTGACATTAAGAACTCCAGTTATGCTACTGATTCAGATATTTACTTATTAAACTATGCGAAAGATGAATTTGAATTTCTGAAGGAGAAAAAAAAGCTTTAGAGCCTGTTACCATACCAGAAGTTTCTGATGTATCTCTACAGAATCTCACCCTTAGTGAGGAAAATAACGTCTGTTATATTGCAGGAGCTGCAATAAATTCTGTTTTGAAAAATGCTTGTAATTCATGCTCACAGTTTCTCTTAGTTTGTGAGCAAAATACTCCTTCCATTGATGAAAATAAGCAGTACATAATTAATTTTGCAAATTTAGGTGGGCTTAAATGTCCTTCTCCAGAAATTTTTAAATTGTGCCTTCTGTGTGAAAAAATAATTCAAAATTTTCGAGACGAAATAATACATGGAAATGTAACTATGGATGTGGAATTTGTTAATATGATTTGTAAGAAAGCAGGCGAGGTAAATATTCCCTCCTGTTGCAATATCAAAACAAAGATAATAAAATATTATTTGACTGCCCGTGGAATTGGTCTCAAGAAGCTTCTTCAAAATAAAAGGCAGCAGCGGCAAAGTTTTGCATCTCCTGCTTTTAAAAGGAAGAAAGTAAACTAGAATCTAATCAAGAGTTTAAGAAGTTTTTGCTGTTCAGTTCTGTCTGTAAAAAATTTTTTCTGAAAAATTGTTTTGTTTTTCGATTTTAGATGAAGCTACTAAATTTTAGTTTTTCTTTCAATTTCTGTGTGTTTTTTTTGTTATTTTATATATTTTTCCCTTTTTAAGACAATTTTAATTTCTTATAAATTTACAGCAGCAAATAAACTTATTAGACAACAGCAAATAAACTATTAGTAAATAGTATCTGTAAATTCTGCATGCAAAGGTATTATTTTTATTTTTTTGTGTGTATATTTTTTAAATGCTGTTTTTAGCTAAATAAAGAACAAAAAAATTGTAATGGAATTTTTATTCTACTAAATTTATATAAAAAATGATTTTTTAAATATAGAATCCCACAGTCATCTGAGTATTGAAGTAGTTTTTATAACATTCGGCACTTCATTTTAAAAACATTATAACTTAAAGGTGTATATCCTGAATCAGTATTTAAAATCATAAAGAGTATAGCACAAAAAAGTATATCCTTTTCTGGAAAAACACAAAATAACATTTTTAACAAATTTGCTACAATAATAGACGTTTGATTCCATGTGACTTCAAATAACGTATTAAAAATAAAAAAAGAATTAGATTAAAGATTAAAAAAAGAATCATGTAGACAAACTATTAAATTTTTCAGAGGTTTAAAATGTGAACTGGCATCAGCATGCACTTATGTATTTATCATGTAAAATTTGTTTACAGTTTTAGAAAAGTATCTGTTGATTCAGAAAAGCTTTGGAAATTAAAAAAATTACTGAAGCTGTATTCATACCAATTTGTATCCACAGCTTTAATGTACTCTGAATATTTTAATGTGTAATGTAAATAAAAGTAATATGCTCATCAATACTGAAATAAAATACTAACGCCAATCAATACTGAAATGTCATAGCTGAGAAATTAAGAATTATCATACAAATACAGTACTGAGAGGCTTATAATTTTTATATAACACATGAAATTACATTAAATTATAAAAGAAAAATAGTTAAATAAATATGAAAATGTTATTTCAAAACTAGTATAACCTCATCCAAAATTAAGAATATGGTTGAGGGAAATCTCTTGTCAAAAAATACATTTTGAGATGCCTAACATTATAGCTTGTATTTTTAAAAGTAAAAATTGAAAATTCAATAAAGGAATTCAAAAAAAAAGGTATTTAAAAAAAATACAAATTTGAAATCTATGTGAAAATGTTTTAGAAACTTTTAAAATAACTTGAATCATAAGAGAAATTTGGCAATAAAAAAAAAAAAAAAAAAAAAAGAAAGAAAGAAAAAGAATCTGAACTGCAAACAAAAGAAGGAGCCACACATTTTTATATGAGTGCAGAAAAAAGCTGAAATTCGGATTCTCTAGAATGTTAAATAATAAAGTTTTAGCGAACAGCGCTAAAGAGCCAAAGCTGGCGCCCCACACCTAAATTGCAACCCTAAAGCTTAGCTTCAAAATGGTTGATGAGTCACCCTGCATCTCTAGTAGCTCTAGTCACAGATGAATCAAAGAAAGAAAACCTCTCAGGACTGGGTGTACCATCGAGATATATACTGGTAGAGAGCTTATTGCAACCTCCAACTGGTTCCAACATTAGAGTCACGTGATAGCTGGTCGAATTCCGAAATACTTTACATTCATTTCTATGGGACGAAAGACGCCTGCTCTGCTTGGTCACATAAAATTTAAGAAAAAATGATTATCCGCTGCAGCGCCTATGAATGTAAAGAAAGTTTTGTAAAAGGAGCACCTATAACCTTTCATAGCTAAGTTAAAACTGCATGATTTATTACTTTATTTCCAGAATTTTTGTCATTTTACTATCTCTGTTAATTTGGTTGGAAAGTTTCAGCCATATTTTATAAGAAAATTGCCGCTGTATATGACATTTTCAGCATGTATTAATAGCATCAAAATGTATAATAAATATTGTGACATTATTTACTGGAATCACCTTTTACAAATAATTGAATTTTATGTTCTTTTTCCGTATACT